GAAACGTTTCTTTTCTTTTTCTTTTTTTTCTTCAATTCTTTTTCCTTCGATCGAGAGTGAAGATTTACCATTATTTTACGATATATTTTCAAACGATGGAAAGGGAATATTTACGAAATAATGAAACGTTTCTTTTCTTTTTTTTTTTTTTCTTCAATTCTTGTTCCTTCGATCGAGAATGGAGATTTATCATTATTTTGTGATATATTTTCTTTTCTTTTTCTTTTTTTTTTTTCAATTCTTCTTCCTTCGATCGAGAGTGAAGATTTACCATTATTTTGCGACATATTTCTTGTAATAACTTAATGGGATCATATTTTCGTGGAAAGTAATATTAGAAAAATATTGCTCGAGGAATATTGGAAGAAAGGAGAATTGACGGAATTTATAAGAAATTTTTAACATTGATTCAAAGTTCGAGGGTTCTTAGATATACCATTATTTTGCGATATATTTCTAGTAAAAACTATTTCTAGTAAAAATAGGATCACATTTTCGTGGAAAATAATATTGGAAAAATATTAATCGAAAAAAAAAGGAAAATTGTACGGAATTTATAAGAAATTTTTAACATTGATTCAGAGTTTGAGGATTTTTAAATATATTATTTTGCGATATATTTCTAGTAAAAATTATTTCTAGTAAAAACGGGATCGTATTTTCATGGAAAAATAATTGGTCGAGGAAGGAAGGAGAATTGTACCGAATTTATAAGAAATTTTTAATATTGATTCAGAGTAGATATGTTAAAAAGATTATTATCGAAATGAATTAACGACATTGCCTTTTGAAGAGGATTAAAAGTTAATTCGATTAAAAACGAGAGCGGTGACTCACTGATTGGGAACCACTGGAATAAATTTAATTTCAATATGACTCGATCAGGGTTCAAAGTTCCTTTTGTAAATAAATAAATAGTACGATATACGAAGGAAAATTATTATCGAATAATAATAGCATTACCTTCAGAGAGGATCATCCGATCTTTAATTACTCGCCAGTTTTAAAGATAATTAATTTAAAAATAGAAATTTTATCGTTGGAAGAATAGAAGGAAAATTTAATTTTATCTCGACTTTTTTACATCTCAGAATTTTTCTTTTACATGCACGAATACGAAGAAGATCGAGAATGAAAATAATATATCAATGGATTTTACAACTAGGAAAATTTTTCTTATAATTTCAACTTGTTCCATATCAACATTGATGTCATTTGTTATTCCAGAGGATCGATCATCTTGTTTTCCTCTACGTTACGTAAATCGCTCGAGAAAACTGGAAATCGAAATTTTTCGATGTTGATGTTTAGATAAGGATCGATTAGAGAAGGCTCATTCAGTTCTTTGAATACGTATCGGCTGATACGCGATTGATCGATTGCAACGTGTAAAGTGACTTTTAAAATGCCACGCTAAGAAAAACCAGCGGTTATGAATCACGGATTTACAAGCAACGTCACGATTGCAATTAAGAGCGACGATGAAATATCGCGCAACAGCGGTCCTGACCTATGTCATCTTTAATGATAAAAAAAGTTTCTTAAAAAAAGGAAAAAAAAATATTATCAACAACTATTATCTAAAATCAATAATATAAAAAGATATCTTAGAAACAAGAAAGAATGAAAAAAAAAAAAAAACAAAGTATAGAATGCATTGGAATTGGAGCAAACTACTCGAAAGCACGACAAATTCGTAAGTATACTTATTCTCTCGAGATAAACGAACCAATTATAAAAATATTTACTCGTGTCTTAAATTTCTTAAACTTGTTCTCTTACTCGATCTCTTGTTACTTGTTCGTTACTTCTTTCGTATTTGAAATAAAAAAATACCAATAATAATAATAATGATAAATAACCAAGCGAATAAATAAACATTAATTTCTATACACTCTCCGTTTAATCCCGACTCAAACAAACCTCAGTTCCTCGATTTTAATCCTTATCGCGAAATAAACAAAGTTATAAAACTTTGGGGAAAAAAAAAATCGAAAGATAACCACCGAGAAAGGAAAAAAAAAAAATCGAGAAATATATATATGCATATATACATAGAATATGTCAACTCACCGAACGAAGCGAATTTGAACCTCTTGATCCTCGGGAGCGTGGCAGTAGTGCAGGCGCGCGTTAAAACTGGCATGTTGCTCTCTCTCTCCAACAAACTGTTTGGACGCGACGAGCTGGACGATGCTTCCAGTTCTGGGACAGCGGCTCGTTTGACGGCTCTTTCCTCGGTGCCAGTCACCTCTACGGCTAATGAACGCATCCTTCGTTGACTCGTGTAATCTCGTGACGCGTATAGTGGTGTGTCATTAAGTCGTGAGTCGGGCGAATTACACGTATATATATATATATATTCGTATGCGCGTGTTATTGCAAAATTTCCCGTGTCTCCACCGTAACAGGTGGCCACGCGAACCAAATCGAGAACCGGTCGTTTCGAACCGAGATTTTATCACCGTTTATTTTTTTTTTCTCTCTCTTTCTTTTTTCTCGATCCTTTTATCGCGCATTGGAAATACGATAGGAATTTTAATTGAAGGGATTCTTTCCGAATATTCTCTTTGTACGTATACTGATTATCAGCGAAGATTTGTTCGTTGTCGATTTTTCTTTGTAAAGAAGATAAGTTAATTTAAGTAACGAAGCTTTATCAAAACTTTATCAAAAAAGAATTCCAAAATTAAAGGATTTTGGTGGATAAATCTGTCTATAAGTTTGTCTGTGGTAGAAAATCTTTACAACGTATCGATTTTTCCAGTAAAAGTGTAAAATTATTCGGGAGGATCGATCGCTTATGGCGATGTTACCCGCGTCTGCCGCCAGAGGGCTATCGTTCGCGCAAGGTCTTTCATTGATTCCTTCGTATAACTTTCCTCGGTTATTGTTAGATCAAGTCAATAATAACGAAGTGTCTTTGGACTGTTGAACAAGTTTAAATCTAACACTGAGATTTCTCACTTTGTTCCGATTAATTCTATTAATAAATCCATTAACACGTACTAGAGTATACCTCCATTCACTCCACCATTTTCTTTTTCTTCCCATTCGCGAAAAACTCGCGTATTACCCCTTCCCCTCTTTCCAATGCTTACATCGCAACGCGAGGAAAGAATTTGTCGACTCAAGTATGTCAAAGCAAGTTCGGAGAGAACATTTGCTTACACGATCGAAACGAAAACGAAACTTTTGCCGCGGCGTATTTTCGGCGAGGGAACGACCTCGGGGTTTGAAATTGACTCGATCTCGAGGTTGGATCTCGTCATTGAAGGGACGCGCGAGATGAAGATATTTTCGACGACAGAAAGGGGAATATTGCAGCTCGTGTGACGGTATAGAGATGCGATTCGAATCGATTGGAACAAAGTTTTATATTTATCGGAATCGTTTCCGCGATCTAAAATTAATCGTACAGGTGATGCTCGCGTGGCAGTAAGGATAAATTATCAATCGATTATTCATCGCGTTCCGTGGCTAAACGTCAATTGTGATCCGAAAGAATGGGCGCGCAACGACGTTTGGTGTTTTAGAAAACTCGAGTTGGAGAGCTCTATTTTTCAAACACGACCATTCACCTCCCTCCCTCCTCCCCTTTGTTTCCCAAACATCGGACGCGCCACATCACCCGCTCGGAAACAAGAATTCGATTCCTTGTTTTGCCTTCCGAATCCGTGAATCTATTCGACGCATTTTTAATCGATGACACGTAAGGAAAACCATAAGGTATGAGGTAATTGTTATAAATACGAGACACGCGATTTACCAACGCGATAAGTATATATAATCTACAATATTATTATTCTAAAATAAATTCAATCGTAATCTCAAAAAACGTAATATCAAATAACCATAAATTATTAATAATCTAGATAGAAAATTATTTCACAATACCATTCTGTACATTCATAAGATAAAATATACTTCTCTCGCTTAATTAATTTACTCAAATTTTCTCAAAGTTGTTCATAAAACAAAAATTTATCCTTCGATCGCATCCTCTATCCAAGATTAACAAACATATCCGCACGTCTATAAACAACACGTCGATAAGAGTCTACTTTACACTTTAAACTTTTATCTTGGTTGAAAATCGAATAGAATTTTAACTCGAATTAAATTTAATTCCTTCGATTCTCTCCCTCTCCCTCTCCCTTGAACGACACACCACGTGGAGAGGTATCGACTTACTCATCGACGACGGCCTCTTCACAGACTTCCCGGCGAGCAGCAGCCCCGACGATGATTTGCCACGATGGTTGACCGGCGACTGTGCCGTGCCGCGGCTCGCCAGGGATATCTTTGCGCTCATCCTCGCGCCCGATTCCTGC